AGACTCCGGCAGCGCCAGCGATAAGGACACTCGGGCTCCGCCTCCGGCTGCTGCCGCCAGCCAGGGCCCGGGCCCCCGCCCCTTCCAGTTCCCCCACCTCTTCCGGGTCAGAGCACCGCCGAGAAGTGCTACCGGGGTGATAGAAGGCCGTTACGAGAAACTAGCGGGGGCTGTTGGGAACGTACTATTGCGGGCGGGCGGGGAGGGGGAGCTTACACCAACTGTTCTGTGTGGCATGGGATGAAGTGTCAGAGGGGATGTACCATGCTCTGCGGGGGAATTAGTTGGAATGGTTCTTTCCTTGTTTGTTTGTTGGGAACGTGCCATTCTTGGTGCAGTGCGAGGGGAGGGCGGAGGTGTACGGCGGAATGTACCATTCAGCGTGTCACTGAGGGGGCCATTGCGCCACCTCAGCATGTGCCTAGATGACGCAGCACCCAAAGAGGGTGACCTAATGTCAAGGCTGTGCAGAGCAACCAGAGGGCCCAGGGAGGCCTCGCGCCCCACTGGGATGCCATGGTGGCCCCAGAGCATGCTGGCCCGTGGGGCCTGGCAAGCATATTTCAGTGTCCCCAAGCTCAAGCCTTCCACGCCATGAATCCAGCCCTCAAAATCATGAGACTGCTTGAAAAGCAGTACCCGCCTGGCTCTTCTGGTTCATGCTGGCCTGCTTTTCTGCGCAGCCCTCAGACAAGGGCTGAGAGTCACAGTACTGTCCGGGCCACCGGACGGGAGGCTTCAAAAAGAATGCCAGATATTGCCATACTGGTGACAGCATCCCAGTCCTGGTGAGCCTCACCCAAAGCAATGAGATGGTAACGAAGCTGTGTCCTGTCGGGCTCAGACGTCACCGTCTAGATGCTGAAACATGGAGGCCCCGACAGGCATTTTGTCACTTCTTTTGTCAGCGACAGAAGAACTGATCCCCACCTTCAGGACAACAAAATTAATCTAGCCATTATCACTGGTAACCTGTGAAAAAGACCAACATGAATCTCCAATTTTGAAAGAAATAGACTCACTCAGACTAAGTTCATTGGGGCAGGGAGGGACCTGCTTTGTTTAAGTTCATGGACTTAGGGTAAAGGGGGGTATTCTGCTCCCAACTCCATGCCTTGGTCAGGCACACAATTTGTCTCCCCTCCCCACCCACATGCAGCGTCATTGGCTGCCTCCTCCCTGTATATATAGAATTCAGACTATGCCTACGTGTATGCTTGTACAGAATCACCTACCACCATGAGGATCTCTGATAATAGAAATAATTCACAAAAACAAACACTCATACACACATGCTTGTGCATGCACACACACAAACACTCAGTTATCTCTCCTGACTATTTTGGGATAATTTTATACTGCCACATATCTTAGTATCTGAGTGCCTTCCATATAAAATCAGTACTAAACTGTGAAATCCACAGTGAACTTTGTGAAGACTCTGGCATTTCGCCCTTTTTGGGGTAAATATTCCAAAATTTAGGGTAGTGTTTATTAATTTGCCTCTTTTTTTGTGATGTGGAGGTGTGGTATCTGGGAGTTTGGGGTGACCATTAGCATAAGTTGTACTGGTTGAAATTTTCTAATCTATGACCATTAGCATAAGTTGTACTGGTTGAAATTTCTAATCTATTTTTTCCAAAAAATAGCCTTTTTTCAAAACCTGACATTTTCTTTAACAATTTTAATTTTTTCCTTTTAAAAAACTTGAAGATAAAACATTTAATTTGGTTTTGATTTATCATTTTTCTTTTTGTAATTTTCTCTCACTTTTTCCTCCCTTTTTTCATGGCAAACTATAAAGGAAGCAAAAAAAGAGTAAAAGAAAAGAGAAAAAACAAGGGGGGAGGAGCAAAATGTAAATAAAAATCTGTGAAAAACTTTTAATATACAAAAATTGCTGGGTGGGAGAGAGTTTTAATTCCTTGTACCTGTAGGATAAGATCAAGAATAAAAACAGCTGAAACTTTGGAGTGATAAATGGATTAATTCACTGTGTGGAGTCTGGAAAGTGGGTCAGGGGAGAAGGAACAAATTCCAACATTTCGATTTAGAGGGACAGGGTGAATGAGAAAATATCTTACTGGGCCGTCTTCTGTTACCAAGAGAGACAAACTTTCAAGGTTACACAGAGCTCTTCTTCAAGTCTGAAAAGCTCTACGTAGGCACATTCTGTCATCAAGAGAAGTTGGTCCAGTAAAATATTACATCACTCTTCATGTCTCAGAGGGGTTAGCCATGTTATATTTTAGTTTTAAGAATGCTTGAGAAAGATCTTATAGGTGTTTGTCTTTGGCTGAAGGATTGGAACAACAACGGATTGTGTGATGTTAGAGGCATGTAGGTAGGAATAGCAGTCAGTAGGTTTCCAGTATAGGATGGTGCTTATGTGACCATCATTTATTTGAACTGTAGTGTTTCGGAAATGTATCTTTTGTGTCAGCTGGTCTAGTCTGAAGTTGATGGTGTAATGGAAATAGTTGATATCCCAGAGGAATTCTTCAAGTGCCTCTTTCCTGAAGGTCCTTATGAAGATGTCATCAATGTATCACAAGTAGAGGAGAGGTACTAGGGGACAAGAGCTGAGGAATCGTTATAGCTCACCCATAAAATGTTGTCATACTGTGGAACCACGCTTGTACCCATACCAGTGCTGCTGACTTGGAGGTGTAAATTGTCCCCAAATCTGAAAAGTTTGTGGGTAAAGACAAAGTCACTATGCTGAGCCACCAGGTGTGCCATGGCATCATCAGGGATACTGTTCCTGACAGCTTGACACCCTTGTGTGGAATATTGGTGTAAAGAGCTTCTCCATCCATGGTTGGTGTTTTCAGGAAGATCACTGAGAAAGAGCAACGCAAACCTGCAATTCATTTGCAGATTTAACTAGGGATGTAATAGGTTAACCGGAGGGCTGGGCAAGAAAATATTTATCCTTACCTCTATGATTTACAATCCATGAATCTGACAAAGTATTTTTTACCCACAAAAGCTTATGCCCAAATTGTTAGTCTTTAAGTGCTACAGGACTCCTCATTATTATCACCCATCCTCGCTCTCTAGCATTCTGAGACCATCACAGTTACAATAACACTGCGTACAACATTTCAATTTGCCAGCTTGGCAGGACAGTGAGTTCTGCTAAATCAGGAGCGGGGAAACTTTTTTATGAAGGGGGCCACTAACCCACAGAAAAATCAGTCAGGGGCTGCATGCAAGTGACCAGTACACTGGAGCCTAGGGGCCCCAGGTTAGTAGATTTTGTGTGCTCCAGCCCCGCAGTGCGGCAGGCTCCCCAGTGCTGGGGGGAGCAGTGAGCATCCGGCCTCTGGGTGAGTCTCCCTATCCCTGTGCTAAATATAGAAAAATCTCTGAAGAGTACAAGAAGGATCCCAGAAAAATGATTTCCTTCCACAATATGACTCTGATAACAATAGTATGGTCCATGTGGAGGCCACCTGTGATCACCTTTCCTTGTGGTCTGCAGACTGAAGTCTTTTATAGCCAAATGGTAGGAAATTGGGGGTAGGGAGGGGAAGTGAATTCATTAAAACCTTTTTCATGAATAGAATTACAGTGCTTGAGAACCAGTTATGTTAGGAAATCCATGTAGCTCCTCTCCAGGAATACCTTCAAGCAATTCTATTTTTAAATGCCTGGCTCCACTAGAGTTTTGTCCCCGCAAATACTCACATGTCTTGCTGAGGACTATTTGTTTGCAATACATAAATGATAGAAAGATTATGGACAATTGCAACTCTGGACTTTTGTGGTACAGCCAGCATTGTCAACGTCCACAGAAAGCTGTACTGACTGCCTGGCCTATAGCTCTTCTAGAACCTTCTTGTTGAGCACTTCTGTTGAAATCTGCACAAGGGTTATTTAGCTAATACTGTAGACTTCCAATAATCCGGAACCTATGGGACCTAGGTGGTGCCGGATTATCAGATATGCCAGACTATCAGGAGGTACTATAGGCTGGTTATATATATATATATACTGTATACATTATATAATGTATATAAAGTGTATTTAACCCTTTTTATTGTACATACTGTATACAGTATACTGTAATGTTTTAGTTTTTGTAGGCCTTTTTTACCCTTTTTGCTCAGTTCAGCTGCTGCCGCTGTTACCTTGTGACTCATTTTTTGCTGAAGCTCTCTCATTAGGCTCTTGCCATTTTGATGCCGGACTATCAGGAGTGCCGGACTATTGGATGCCGGACTATTGGAGTTTTACTGTAAATCCTGTTCCATCGGTGTCTGTCGATGTGTATTCCTTTCACTGTGCCTGATGATATCAGGATAGAATCAGAGGAAGGGTTATTGTGACATCACCCAGACAAACGGAATATTTTCGTCTGTTAGTGACATTTGTACACTTCTGCTGTTGAGATAACAGCTAGATAAACTGGACTTCCAACTACCTCTAGAACAAGCAAACTGATTCAGCTTGGAATTGCAGCTTTTAGAAGTTTTTAGAAAAACTGCCAGGTCCTAAACATGGTAGTTCAGGAATCATCGTCTTCATCCTCTTCAGGAAGTACACATGAATCTGAAACAGATTCAGAACCTGGGCCTAAAGCTTCAGCCTCTAAATTGGAACTCACTATTAGCCCTCTCGCTGAAATCTACCCCTCAGTGAAGACCATACTGGACAAAATTGATGCTGCCCAGCTGGACAGAGCCAGGAAGGTACATGCTGATGCAAAACATCTGATTTTGGGGGCTGCCGTATGGCTCCTGTGAGTAGGATGCAAAAGAGACTAGCCCTTTGTAGGAGAGGCACAAGAAATAGTTGAGAGGTCTCAGATTTTATGCCCCACTAAATATTCCCATTAGGTGTCTTGAGTTGCTTTCCATTTTTAGTGGACAACTCATGTGCACTGCTAGTTGATTTTATCAGCAGTTTGAGGATCAGAGTATTTGCTCCCTGATATTTGCAATCTATTTTATATTTGAGAGAGTTTCTGCTTCTCTCTGTCTGTCTGTGAGTCTGTTTTTTCAAGAACTCATCCTAAACAGTAAGAGGTAGGACTACCAAATTAGCTATGCGGTTTCCTTTTATCACTACTTAAAGCAAGGTCAGGGTTTGGCTGTGCCAGGACAATGAGATGTGTGTGGAATGTGATTGTTTCTCATCAAATGAAAAGGGAGGGCTGTGATAGTAGGGACAGTTATACTCCAGAATGACCACAGGAGGGTAGCACACATGTATACCCCCAGCAGCTCCAGAGAGCTGCAGAGCAGCCACCAGCCAGGCAGCACGGCCTCTGCTGCCTTGGCTGACCCAGGGGAGAAGTCCCTACTGCCCCAGGCTGGCCCTAGGGAGCAGCCACCAGCCACTCCCAACCTGAGCCCAAACTCTTGCCCTGGTTCCTGCACCCCCATACCTCCCAACCCCTTCCCTGAATCCTTCACACCCTACCTCCTGCCTTGAGTCCTCCACAAATACCAACCCCCTTCTCTGACTTCTGCATCCCCTACTGCTTGCCCTGAACCCCCACAAGGACCCAAGCAATGCCAGGTAAATCCTCTAGTTTAGAAATAAAGGGACATGATCCTGAGAGGTAGTAAGCACTCCCATTTGCAGGGCGCAGACCCACCATAGCTGGGTTCTATCCTACCTCGTCTTCTCTTGTTATTCTCTGTTGTTATTCTCTCTTGTTATTCTCTTGCTATTCTCTGTAGCACCCAGATTTCCTAACTGGGAGCAGACCCTCCCTGTTCTAGGCAGCACATGAGAGGCAGCTCCTGCTTCAAATTGTTTACAGTGGGAGAGTGGGAGAAAGGAATTATCTAGGTCACACAAGGAGTCTGTGGCAGAATGAAACCTAGATCTCCTGAGTCCCAGGCCAGTGAATTTACATACCTGAGCTTGAGCTCCTTACATGCAGTGTGTTCAAGAAACAGAATCGTTAAGGCCCCATTCTGTCTCTTTAGGAGGTTTCTAAGCAACTGTTTGTAATTCTGAACAATGTGAACCGGGCATGTAACCACTTCAAAGAGAATGAAGGGAGGGACCCAGAGATAGAAGAACAATTCCTCCTCTCCAACACTTGGGCTGAGAGAAAACGGAGAGCACTTCTACTGGACAAAGTAGCCATCTTGCTCAAAGCCAGCACAACTCAAGGAAAGGATTTAAAGTTTGTTCTGGAGTCATTGAAAGAATGGGGTAAGTTAACGGAGAAAGATGTCTGCTGGGCTGTTCCAGACTACAGGCAGCTTGAGAGCCATCATAGGGCTGCCTGGAACCATGTTCTCCAAGTCAGTCAGAAACCTGGATCCCAAAGCCTCTGAGCTTTGGGGAAGTTTTGAGCTTGATTCCAACTTCATTGTTTGAGCCCAGTGTGATGTCTGGGTGATCACTCAGGCTGGTAAGGTGTTCAGTCATCACCTTCTGTTATAACCTAGGGGTGCTTTAATATTGTGCTGATATGGTTCAAATCGCAGATACTACTAGCTTGCCCACAAACACAAGGTCTCACTCTAGCATCCACTGGTCTCTGCCTTCCAGGCAGCTGACACTAACAGTTCTTCTGGCCCCATGTCTCCCCAAATCTATCCTTTCCACGCACAGTCTGATTTTTCCCCTCTGGTTCAGGATCCCCATGGGCATAAAACCAGCCTCCCAGTTATCGGCTCACTTTGCCACGCACACTCCTCACTGTTTGCACACCCAAGAACTGCTCGGATAAAACAAACCAATTGTTTATTTAATAGAAAATGCAGATTCAAAGATGAAATAGTAGGGAGAGCAAACACATACACGTTACACAATAAACAAACATAAAGACACAATTTCAGAGGTCTTCTATCATAGTTCAAATCCTTTTCCTAATAGAAGAAGCCTATTGCCTTTAAGCAGTTTGCCAGCATATCTCTGAATTGTGTGGGAACCTCCCTGGATAATCAGGAAGGGTATGTCTACACTTGCAGCCTATTTTGGAATAGGATTGAAAATGTAGGCATCAGGAATTGCAAATCAAGCCCGTGATTTAAATATCCCGTGGGGGCGGGGCTACTCACGCGCCGGGTGCCCTGAGGGTGGGGCCACTCATGCGCCGGGGGCGGGGCCGCATGTCCTGGGGCACGCCAGGGGCGGGGATGGCTTGCACC